CGATAAAAATATAACGTATTTACAAACGCAAATAATCAAAAATATAACGTATTTCTTCACGTACAAACCTAGCACACACACCCCTATAGAAGCACTCACACAACACCACGTCAGAACACACGATTCAGCTCAACCCTAAAACCCTAAAACCACACACCTAACTGACCCTCCGCGGTCGTTGCGGTTGCGGCTGCTGTGTCTGTTTGAACTGCAGTAGTCTCTGGACCGCTCTGGCTCTACTGCCAACCGTCCGAGTGTCTCACTCACAGTGTGTGCACACACTGTGTCTGCCTCGTTCCCCTTGTTGCTGCTGCTGTTGCTGTTGTTATTGTTGTTGTTATTGTTATTATTATTATTGTTACTGTTGCTGTCGCTGTTGATGTCAAGTGTCGACGTGGTGTCATCGGTGGGGAGTGAGTGGGCTGTGAGCAGTGGCTGTGGAGGTGACTGTGGCGGTGGCTCTGGGACGGATGTGGTGTGTGCCTGCGAATGAACACAGAGCAGACAGTTCATCACCACAGGCCATGTGTGCTTTCAAGGTCACAAAGCATAGGGATTTAGAGTTTTAAGGTTTCGAAAACCCAACCCAACACAAAACACTCAGAACTGCACAGAGGCTGGTGTTGGGTCATGATGGCATGTTTTCCACCAATCAAAACTCAATGAGTGCACGAGAATTATTAAATAGTAATCCATTCGTTGTCAAGAGTATATTCAGTAGCACACAGAATGGGTGCAGTTGAGTCCAAAAAGTCATCAGCGGTACAGTCACAGATCCGATATAACGCTTGTATCATCATGGCAAACACTACAGGGCATTTACAAACTGTATATACACCATAGGACACCATAGGAAGCCATAGAACAGGTGAATTGTATATACACCATAGAACACCATAGGTTGCCACTGAACAGGTGAATTGTATATACATCACAGAACACCATATAACACCATAGGAAGCCATAGAACACGTGAATTGTATATACACCATAGAACACCATAGGTTGCCACTGAACAGGTGAATTGTATATACACCACAGAACACCATAGGAAGCCATAGGACAGCTGAATTGCATATACACCATAGAACACCATAGTAAGCCATAGAACAGCTGAAATATATATATACACCACAGAACACCATAGTAAGCCATAGGACAGCTGAATTGTATATACACCACAGAACACCATAGTAAGCCATAGGACAGCTGTATTGTATATACACCACAGAACACCATAGGACACCATAGGACACCTTATGTTGCCATAGGTGGACAGGTGCACTGCTACATACTGCGGGGGCCTTGTCGGGAACGTTTATGGCGCGACCATTGGGATGGGCGTTGAGGCAGTTGTGGTCATTGCAGTTCATCCCCCGCCAACAGGGGACCACCGATGGATCCTAAATTCATGACAGACAGTTAAAGAGGAACAAAAGATTCTCGAGTCAGTTGTTATTCTGTCTTCGGTACAAACCAGGGCGAACAGGATACGAAGGAGGGAGGAGCAGCGCAAACAGATATGGTGTGTCTCACACAAAAGACAAATAGGGAGATGTGAATGAATCGATATGCAGATATTTAGGTATTTATATATATATATATATAAATAAATATACATGTATATGTATATATATATATATATATCATATATACACATAAATATAAATATATATATATAAATATACATGCATACATATATATACAATAAAAACATACATGCATGCATACATACACATACATAAA